GAAGTACATGTTTTTAAATTGATAATTTTTCTGCTAATAATAGGAAATCTAAGCAGACAATGAGTTTAATGCCAAAAAGTAGTGTTATAATTTCATAGAGGGTATTTATTTTTACTTTTAAACATGCATGTTTGGATACTAGAGAGCTCATGGTTGTATGCATGTAGTGCAAGAAATCCCATCTTTATTTGTTCATTGTTTGTAATATTACTAATTTCTTACTGAAAGGTAAATGTAAGATTTATAAACATCTGGACAACTCACAAGGAAGAAATTCTATACGAAAGACAACTTAAAAAATACAGAAGCAGCAGAATAATATATTTATTATTATTATTATTATTATTATTATTATTATTATTATTATCATCATCATTATTATTATTATTAATTTCATGAAAAAATATTTAGAAGAATATTTTTATATGAATTTACAATGCCAGGCTTCCTTCTAAATATGCGAAGAATTTCCTTCCCTAATTAGTGCAATAAGTTGAAATTTTACTGGGCAATAAAAATATCAGTACATTGGTTACCTAATAGTATTCTAAATAGAATTTTCTATTTGTAAATTCAGGCATCATCTCAGCTGCTGAGAGCAAGTTGATCAATCACCATTGTAAACAGACACAGTTAATCAAATATGAAACCACAGTCACCAATACCATTCACAGTAACATGATATTTGCAATCTTATTTATATGGAACTAAAAATTAAGACTTGTAAATTTTAAACTAGGAAAATTCTAATGGAGATAAAACATCTTTTCAACAATTCAATAACAAATACTTTGAATAAAACTAGCACCTGAACTTCAGTTATTATGTGGGCAATTAACAGATTCTAGTTTAATAAAATTCCAAGTATAAACTAACGTATTAAAATCATTCAATCACTACAAATTTGAATCTGAAAATAACTTAATACATACCGTATTTGAAATAATGTATTCGTAAAAAAATTAACAAAAAACTACATGTTCAATTAGAGAGAAAGTCTGACCCCCCCCCCCCCCGCATTTTGAATTTAATTTGTGAAAAGACTTACTTTTAAAAGAAGGAACCGATACACAAATGGGGTTGTTATAAATACAAAATGTGACATTTCATTGTGTGTATGCATTTATACAAATACATACATATATTCGAAACTTTCCCCAACTTCCCCAAAATTTCCGAAAACGTTAAGGACACTGACACATCATGAGAAAGAAAAGGAAACAAAAAAGGAAGAGGTAATATTAATGCAATGTTCCATTTGTTACATGTACATACATACAATTATGTTCACAAAATTCAAGTAAGTTACTATTTCTGCATTTCTAGATAGATAAATTCAGCAGTAAATATTAAACATTTTAGTAACATGGCAGTTGTTCAGGGATCAAATATCACTCAAATTTGACATAGGACAATATTGAGAAAGTCCAGGTTTCAGAAACTCCAAAGGCTAGATATGTTATATAGTTTACAGGGGGGCCACTCTTTTCTTGGAACAAATTACCCAACTTCCAGGTTTCCCGGTACATTTCACACTGTACTTTCTTAAGAAATAATATTTAGTTTTACACTTGTCTCAAAAATTTCCCAAACTTCTACATTATCTTCATGTTTCCTGATTAATAAATTACCCTGACATTTGCCACTTTTTTCAGAAAGTGGTCAAACTGGATTCAGTATTTTCTTTAATATAGAGCCACCTCAAGTGTAGGCCACCTCAGTATTTTAGATGAAAATTTCAGTATGTACTTCTTATGTTATTCGTATTCTTTCCAATAAAAATGGTGAAAATTGCAGGGAATTAGCAGATTTTTAAAATCAGCGTGTTCTAAGAAAATTGCAGTTGGGATCTTGGAAATACAAATATCTACTTGTAAAATTGTTTGAAAAATTATTTAGCTGAATTTAGAGATATTAGCATTACTCCCCCTCCCAGATTTTTTGGTCGCCAATTTTTTGAGGGGAAAAGGAGGGGGGCTTACATTTGAGAAAATACAGTAAAATATAATACAAAAAATATATTTTTAGTAAAAACGTTAAGGCATTTTCAGAAAAATAACACCATTTTACGCAAGGAAAGGTGTAATATGTATCAGCATACGCCTATTATACATATTATGTGCAAATATGGAAGTGTAAATGACGTTAAAATTAATGTTTTAGCTAACATCTACAATAAGTGAACATAATATTAAAATAGCACTCGCCACCCCAGAGTGCAAATCAAGCACTCTATTCTAATATTATTGGGTGAATTTTTAAAGATTTAAATCAATTTCTTCCTTCTGCAGCATTCAAATACAATGAATACACTTTTCAACTAAGGTCATACAATAGCTTTATTTCAGCACTTATTTTCCCAGTAATTTGTAGCATTTTAATAATATCCAAGTACTTTATCATGTACCAAAAAATGCAGGTTATACCACTATCAAAACACTAATTAACGACCTCTATAATACAAAAGCCAATTTGTACTATGAAATTTCAGAAAGCAAAGAATTTTTTTGCTACACATCCTTAACTTTTTCTGGAAATTGGAATATTATACACAGTGAGGATCAACTACACACAGAATGGTCCACAGACAAGGAAAAGGTCCCAATGATATTAGTACTTGTAATGGTGCATGGTCAATAATCAAATAAATGAACAATGCACAAATATTGCATTGGTTAGTGATTTGCCTTAAATCCCCCCCAGCTCATGGACCCTGGTCCCTCACTTTTAGTTGTTCTTTTGTGAATAGCCCACAATGCTGCATACCTATTCAAATTCCTTCACTTGACTTTCTTCTCATCATCAAAGACTGGCAGAGCTACGTGGAAACAGGAGGAGGACAAGAACTCCAGGAAATGTTTCGCAGCTTTAGGGAATCAAGTAGGGAATCCTGAGACTGACTTCAAGAATATAGGCAATTTGTGTTGGCAGTTAAACAGTTCACATGAAAGCAAAACTAGATTCAAAATGACAAAATATGAAAATTAATAACAATTGGTAACTTCTTTGCAAATGCAACGATCAAGTGCCTGATATAATAATATCTATATAGCTTCCACATAATACATTCCACGAGTCACAATATTATAGATTGGAACTAGAAAACTCAAAATTTCTTTATCCAAGGTTTCCTCTTGCTCAATCACAATATTTCAATATGACGTTCTTCAGTAGTAAACCCTGATGATGCTCAAAGTATGCACATGTGAAGTAATTGCACTCAAATCTTCATGACTAGGCACGTAAAAGAATTGACAACATTAAAACATTAACCACAAGAAATATATTGCTCCACAGCATATAAAACTTATGAATAAAAGAAATTGTTTAAAACAATTCTTTTTGCTAAATATCAGTTCACTGAATAGGTCAATAATCTGCTTTTTTCACAAATCACCAACAAAGATAACTGCAAATAGTACACGCAATTGCAGTATCCTCTTTGCTTTTATGTCTAATATCAGCTCTCTCATTCGCTAAATTAGAATTGAAAGATGGCTAATTGGGTATATTCACATTATAAAACATCACTCATTCATGTTAAATTTGTTTCAAAGGAAATCATCAGAAGACGCATTTTCCAAATGGACATGAAGACAAACAGTTTTTTCAACATCGAACGAGGTGCATGATGTAGCCTAAGAAAGCAATGAATCACAAAACTTCTTGGTGCATATCACACAATGAGGCATACAATTATCATTGAAAATCACTGAAATAGAATAATGCCAAATTATAACACTCTTCTCATTTGTTTAATTTCCAGGTACAGGCACATACCAGGGATTTCCATTTGCAACTGCCAAAGTCACTTAATTTAAAAACTCATTGGATCTTGATTCCAGGAGCAAGCATAGCATCAAAATAGGAACCCTCTTCAAAATTTATCTGAGTATATAATTGTTTCTTATTTCAGAAAATAACTTTTCCCATGGCCACAAAGCAAGTTTCTTCTTGTCACTGTATGATGACAATGAGAGGCCTTCTCGAAGTTCTAAAAACAATTATCTTCTATTACCATTTTTTTGTGTATTAATATTTTTCCTTTTATAATTAAATTTCTGAATATAATTATGCATAAGAAAAGTCCTATTTTTTACCAACAATAATCTTTCATTGGCAAAATATTACAAGTTCAACATTCTTGAGACATTGCACTGCAACAAATTCTTCAGATCTGATTCATCTGATCTCAACAGAACAACCAGAAAGTGGTGGACAAGGGCCCAAAACTTTTGATGAAATGGTTGGTAAACCCGAAACACCATGTGAACCCAATTCAAAATACAAAAGATGTTATATATACATACATTATTTTCTCTCACTGATGAGTTTACAACTTCTGCACTAAGGTATGTATCAATGTACATCTCTGTGCACAATTGAATGAAGAAATTGGACAAAAATATTCATATAAACTTTAAATGAGCTTGGAAACAAATGTTTCATTTTAAAAACATGCATAAATAGCAACTGTATGTGCTTGTTGAAAAGAAAATTATTTTTTTCTGCTGGACAGCTTATGTAAATTATTTTTTTAAAATGTCTTGCTTATCATTATTTCTCTCCAAAATTGTACCCCTCAACACTAGAATGCAATAGACAACAACAACACAAAAAACTTAAACAGTTCAAACAGAACCGATATGACTACAACAGTTCGAACAGGATTTAAGCTGCCCCAAAATTTAATGTTTTTTTTTAAAAGAGAAATCTAGCAATAGGTGTACATACAATAAACAAAAAGTTCACATTGTTGAAAATTGCTGATGAAAAACAATGTGTAGCAACATTTCACTTTTACATTTATTCTATGACAAGTGAAATGTGAATTTCACGTTGGAGTTATGGACAAGAGTATTAATAGTATTCAACAATATTCAATTCAAAGTAACTTCGGAGTTCATCAACACCAGCTTAAACCCTGCCATAACAAGGAAAACAGCGAAAGAAAATATAGGCATCATGCCACTTGAGAAAATTAGTCGTTTTTAATTTACCTTCTGACTTTGTGGTGAAAGATGAATGGTGTGCAGTTTCTGGAAGATACTTCCTGGTAAACCAGAAATCTGCGCCTGAATTCCAGTAAAAGTTGCCACACCTTGTGCTGATCCAGGATTGCCTCCAATGGATGTAACAGGAATCGGTACCAAATGGGGCAGAGCAGGACTTACATTATTCACATGTGATTGATTGCTATGAAGATGAGGCAACAAGGTTTGTGCACTTGAGCACATTGATGAAGTATTCTGCTGTTGAATTTTAGAGCTTCCAGTACCAGCATTATTAATGTTATTACAACTTGAGCTGCTGGGATTATTTGTATTGATGCTACTATTGCCAACATTACTATTGTTATTACTGCTGTTGCCACAATTATTACTGATGTTACTACTGCCAGTACTATTACCATTGTTACAACTTCCAAGATTATTCGTACTGTTGCTAGTGCTGCTACCACTTACATTATTGGCATTGTTGTCATTGTTATTTGAAATAACTCCATTGGGATTAACTGGCATGTGTTGACCAATCTGCACATTTGTTGGCATACTCATTGCTGATGTGTTACAAACTTGTAATACTGATGGATGCATTCCAGTTTTTGAGAGAGTAGTCAAAGTATTGGAATTTGTAGGAAGATTATTTGCACATGAAATCACAATTGATATAGTCCGAGAGTTAAGGTTATCAACATTTGTTACAAGATTTGATTGAGATGACTGTGGCGGTACATGAACTATCTGAGCAGGTGACTGGGTTGTCAGTTGCTCTTGTCGGGCACGCACTATAATGGATGCTGAAGGAGATTGCTGCTGCTGCTGCTGCTGCTGCTGCTGCTGTTGTTGTTGTTGTTGTTGTTGTTGTTGTTGTTGTAGCTGTTGTTGTTGTAGCTGTTGTTGTTGTAGCTGTTGTTGTTGTAGCTGTTGTTGTTGCTGCTGTTGTTGCTGCTGTTGTTGCTGCTGCTGTTGTTGCTGCTGCTGTTGTTGCTGCTGCTGTTGTTGCTGCTGCTGTTGTTGCTGCTGTTGTTGCTGCTGCTGTTGTTGCTGCTGCTGTTGTTGTTGCTGTTGCTGTTGTTGTTGCTGTTGTTGCTGCTGCATAGTTACTGTTGTAGCTGCTGATGTAGTAGTAGTAGTAGTAGTAGTAGTAGTTGTTGTTGTTGCTGCTGTTGTTGCTGTTGCTGCTGCTGCTGCTGCTACTACTACAACAGTTGGAGTAGCAGTAGTAGTAGTAGTGGTGGTGGTGGTGGTGGTAGTGGTAGTAGTAGTAATAGTAGTAGTCGTCGTGGTAGCAGTAGTAGTTGTAGTAGTAATTGGAGAAGTAGCGGCAGTAGTAGTATCTGTAACTGGCGACGATGCTGTTGTTGATACTATTGGTGGTGGTGTAGGAAGTGGTTGTGATGGAGGAGGTGGTGGTGGTGGTGGTGGTGGCAGCAGTGGCTGCTGATGAACTTGCTGCTGTTGTTGATGTTGTTGCTGTGGTGCTGCTAATGGTATCTGTTGCTGCTGAGACTGTTGTGGATTCTGAGGATGTTGCGGTTGATCTTGACGTAAAGAAGCATGGTGATGAGGAAATTGCAAAGGTGGAGGTTGGGATGAATTACTGCAAGTTTGTCCATTGCTAGAAATTTGATTATGTTCAGTATTTCCAGGAATAGCACTTGTGTGCTGCATTGTCACTTTGTTTAAATGTGGTGATACGGATACAACTGGTAAAGTCAAATGAGAATTAGTGGTACTTACACTGTTTCCTGACTGACAAAACACACCCGCGGATATCTGACCAGTATTTTGATTAGCAGAACATACAGAAGATAAAGGAGGTACAGTTGTGGTTGCTGGAGTAATATTTGTTGGTCCTTTTATATTTGGATTAACTGTAAATGGTGCAGTGACATAAAATGATGTAGTTGTAGTTGTTTCCGAGGCAATTTTTGCAGTAGTAACTGGAACTGAAGTTGAATTTCCTACTATTATGTTTTGACTGGTATTTTTGGCAATCAATCGTTCTTGTAAAGAAACCTTCACAGAATCAAATTGGTTGAGGTTTTGCATTGCTGTTACTGATGCTACAGTACCTCCTGTACCCATTTTTGTTATTTGTCTTTCCACTTTCTTCTTCTTTTTCTTTGTACCCTGTCCTGCTAAAGAATTTGCCACACTAGTAAATTGTGCTGTTTTTTCAACTTTGTTCACTATTAGACTAGGATGTGACTGAGCAATGCTCTCAAGAAAATTGTTTTGAATATTAGGAATAACATTAGAAGAATTCTGACCAGCGTTTTGTACACCAATAGCAACAGTCTGAGTTTGCGTTTCAATAGATTGTTGCGAGGTATTTTTTCGAGATGATACCTGTGCTATAGTTTGGCTCGGTTGTGATTGTGATTGGTTAATTAAACCAATAACTGGAGGGGGACTATTTATAGAAATTGAGGAAGTAGTTGAATCGGTTGAACACCGCCGTAAGCCGGAATTTAATTGCTGAAGTAAAACACTTTGTTGAGGAATGAATTTTGTACTATTAGTAACTAGTGATGAGCTGGATTTCTGTTGATTATTATTGAAGTTTTCAACTGTATTCCCTCCAATGAGAATTGTACCAGCATTAAAGGTCAAACCTGATGTGGAACCCAAGACTTTGCTAAGGGTAGTAATTGGAGACATATTCATCAAGCCTGTTTGTTGCCCTTGTGCTTGTTGAAGACACTGTAGCAATTGGGGTCCAGCAATTGGAATGCCTCCTTGATGAGCAATTACTAACTGTTCAGTCCCTGTATAAGGCAATGGGGAACTGAAATTTGAACTATTGGAAGGTGCATTTGATGATGCTGGAGGAAGCGTGGCCATTAATGGTACATTCGTTGTTGATGACACTAAACCTTGTAAATTCTGGATTGAATGTAGGCCAAGAAACATATGAGTGCCATCAGTGTTTGCCATAGTTGTTTTTGAAGCAGCAAATGTAGTTGATGGAGCTGTGGAACATACAGGAAGTAGCATTGTATGGTTATCTACCATTTTAGGCACAGTCAGAGAACCAACTGAATTCAAATGCATGCTTGTGCAAGATGTGCTAGTTGCCACTCCTGTTGTTGGCATTTCAATGGCCTCTGTTTGTGTCATAGTTGAATTCCCAGAAACTATTCTTTCTGAATGATTTACTGATATAATTGGGCTAGTGAAGGATGGTGGGCTAGAAGATGGCATTTTTGTAGAAATTGTTGTCAAACATAATTTGGAATTCTCCATTGTAGCAACTGATGAACACTTTGAGGTGTCAAGTTGTACACAGTTACGCAATGAAGGAGTACTTGAAGAATGCACCGATGGCATGAATGTCTGAATATTCACACTGCTTGAGGAATTTGTACTTGGATTTGAAGAACTTCTTGATAATGGAGTATTAGTTGATGCGTTAGTACTGTGGCTGTTCATTGATGGTTTTCCTGAGGCACTACTATTTATTAAAGATGAAGGAACACTGATACTTCCAGAGCTGTTGCTCACCATTGTAACCGATGTACTACAGGGATTCACAGTACCCAAAATACACGGCGAATTTAAAACACCAGAACTATTGGTTATATTTGTGGAATTGGTATTAGCCAATTTTCCTGATGTTTGAGCCAATGCAATATTTGCAACAGCATCTTTTATATCACTAGTAGTTTTACACGACACAGCAAATCCCAACGAATTTCCAGAATTTGATACAACACTATCAACCTTACTAATGTTTTTAATGCTTATATTTGGAGGTTGTTGTGCAACTAAAGAAACCTCAGTAAACAAGTCTCTGACAAATGTACTTGATGCCTTTGCAGACGGTACATATCGCTCTGACAACGTTGCACTAGCACTTTGTGACAGTTGGGCATTTGCCGCAAATGTGGTAGAAACAAAGTGGGCAGGATTTGCTTGTGATCCAGCTGAAGGGGAAGGAGAGGCAGAACCAGAGGTTCTTGTGTTAGTGGTGTTGGTTCCTGTAGAAATAAGGTGCGGTGAACTGGAAGTTGCATTCTGTTGCTGTAAAAGTGAAAGAAAATCGAGTAAAGAAAAAGTATTTGGCAATTTCACATTATAAAGAAAACAGTACAATATTTTAATTAAATGTTTAGGATAAGAAATCTTCTAAATTCAGATACAACTATACAGTTAGTACCGCAAAGAACAGACCATACTACTCATATATGAAAGCAGAGTATAATTTAAATGGAAAACAGAAATATGCTCTGTCATATGAAGAAAGAGAGATTAGCTACAGGACTACAAAGGTATCAAAGAAACGTGCAACTGGAGAGTATAAATGAAAAAAGCAGGTGAGCAATAAAGGACATGTAGGCAAGAATACCAGAAGCTGAGCAAGTGACTGAATGCAATGACAAATAATTTAAGGAAACAAGGCATAGACTGAATGCCCCTATTTTCTATTTTATGTTTTCAAATTTTAATTTTGCTAAATATTATATATTTATTTCTGTGGAGCTTTGGAAATCTCATTTAAACAGTACATACATACACAAGTAAATAAAATGTTTCAGCATGCAAAATTTGCTCTAGGCATGTTAGTTTAAAATTGTCAAGACATAGCTGTTCCGAGGGGAAATTGTAGTACTTGCCAAATATTTAAGTATTACCATATTACAAATTGTACTACCTGTTACTCATGCAATATGCTTCAAAGTCAACCTACAAGTTGAATAAATTTTGAAATTAACTACTTTTAAAAAAAGTGTTTACCCACAAAGGAAATTTAAAAAAATTATACACACACAATATGTGTGTGAGCGCGCGCGCGCGTGTGTATGTGTGTAGTGAGTGTGTGCGTGAGCGCGCGAGAGAGAGAGAGAGAGAGAGTGAGCGCGAGCGAGAGAGAGTGAGCGCGAGCGAGAGAGAGAGAGA